GAATGGCATTAGAATGTAAGAACATTGTTCTTCATTGTGCACAGACACTATTGCTGCCCCAGCCCACATCTCCTCAGTCCCCTCTTAGTTCACCAGAAGCTATGGAATCATTGGCCATCTCAAGCACTCGCATTTCTGCTTCTTAGCCTGAAAGCTTTCTCCCACATCACAGGAGCTTAGTGGGTCTAGCTCAGCGAGAGAGAGGTAGTGTCCCGGAACAACAGTCAACCACCGAGCGACAAGAATCAGTGGATAAATGGCTAACTCTTTGTCCTCCAGAGGCACATCCTGAGGTATGTACCACAGGTTTCTCAGAGGCTTCCAGCAGAATTGACCCTCATTTGCCCACACACTAACTCATCTCTCTTGCCATCCCTTCCTGCTTTCACTTCCCCATTCTCTCGCTTGGGCTTCTAGAGATTCAACTTCCTGTTTCAGGGTCTGCTTTGTCGTTGTTGTTAAGTGTTGTCGAGTCGATTCCAACCCATAGTGACCTTGTATAGGGTTTCCGAGGAGCAGCTGGTGAGCTTGAACCACCGACCTTGCAGTTTCAAAGACTTTGCAGTGTGACGCATTAACCCACAACGCCACACCAGGACTCCAGGGTCTGCTTTAGGGAATTCTAAAATAAGACATTCTCATCACTTTGTATTACTAGTCTTCATGACATTTCCCAAGGGTTTCCTGTCTGGGGAGAGGGGGTATCCTAGTTTGGTGGGATTCTACATTTTCCTTTCCTCTCTTCCTTTTCCTTTCCTTTCTCTTGATTTGTGTCAAACCTCACATAAAATGCAAAGCAAGGGGCGGCCTTTAATCGATCCCTGCCGGCCAGCCCTAGGCTCTGCTGACATCAGTCCTCTGGGTCTGGCGTTGTGGTGGAACTCTGCTTCTCCTTTCCAGGCGTCCTTGCGATTCGGGTTGCTTTGCTGTGATCCATCAGCTTCTCCTGAAGATGCATCCTCACCTATCTCCTCCACACGTGCACACTGAAGAGTGCAATACCTTTATTAATACCTTTATTCGCTAAAGGAATGTTATAGAAATGTTAAGAGTTAAGAAAAATTACCATAAAGCTAAAATGAAATTTAAATACAACACACTAATGTAAAATGTTTTTCCTGTGAATGGAAGGGAATGAGAATGTCTTAATAACAGACCTTGGAGCTTAGAAAAGAGTTTTCAGAAATCACCTCCTTTGTGATAGGTAAAAATCAAGCATGTTCGGGTATTAGGGAACTTGAAATAGTATGTAATAGTTGGATTCCTTGTACTTGCAATTAAATGCTTTCCCCTTCCTAATTATAGGGAGATAGAATAATTACATTCCACTCTGACTTTCCTGAGCATAATAAAACGATTCTATGATATAAAAAAGAAAATGCAACGTGAACACGACATTTTATGACTTCAAACATTTAATCTCACTCATGGGTCAATTCAAGCTTCTACCAGAGAGCAGAAATTCATGACCCAAATCAGAGCTGAGCAGTTTTTCAAAATTCAGCACCAAGTTGTGTCTCACATTGTTCTATGTGTAATGGACTAGGGAGGAAAAGATCCAGCCAGAGTTGCAAGCCCATATCTGATTTACCCAGCCTGTGTTTCTCATTGGCGAATTCTCACCGTGGCTTGCAGGCAGCTGGCAGATTTTTTTATCCTAATGGTGATTGTAAGGATCTCTGGTAGCTTAGTGGTTACAAGTCGGGCTGCTAACCTCAAGGTCAACAGTTCGAAACTACCAGAGGTTCCATGAGAGAAAAATAAGGCTTTCTGCTCCCGTAAGGATTTACAGCCTCGGAAACCCTATACAGGATTGCTATGAGTCGGAACCGACTCCACGGCACATAACCAGCACCACCAATAGTTGATTGTACTATGGTCACTAAATTGAGGCCACTATCAGAGAGAAAATTACATTGAACTCGCAGTGAAAATAAATGAGCATCAAGAACCTGTTAAAAATTATGTGAATGGTTCATAAATTTAAAGGGGGGCCGGGAGCGAGGAATAGAAAATGCCTGATGCAGTAATTGCTTATTTTTTGGTTTAGAACTATATGATACATTAACTAATTAAAATCCTAAATCAAATATACAAGAAGGAAAGATTTTTTTCTTTCACTACAGCGTAGTGGTTACGAATCGGGCTGCGAACCACCTTTAGGTCAGCAGTTGGAAACGACCAGCTGTTCCGCGGGAGAAAGATGAGGCTTTCTGCTCCCGTAAAGATTTACAGCCTCGGAAACCCTGTACAGGGTCGCTATGAGTCGGAACCGACTCAACAGCACTTAACAACAACTTTGAAAAGTAAAACATTTTTTTCTTAATTTCCATTTTCAAACTATAGCTATAAGAATGTCAGGGCTTTTTGTTTTGTTTTTTAAAGTAACAAATAGGATGAAAAAGAAATTAAAATGGCCTGCTTGGCTTGTAATATTTTAAATAATTTTAAGGACATGAATAATTAATAAGAAAAAATATAAGGCAAAATATTATCCTTTTCACAATAATCTCCTTTTCTGATCATTGTTTTGAAGATAAAACATATGGATACTGATGTTTATGGATATTTGACTATAACTTGGGCACTTTTTCTAATTAAATACAGTTTCATGCAACCAGTCTGTGTCCTCTCTAATTAGATACATATTTTAACCATTAAGAAGCCCTCCCGCCAATTCCTATTTTAATTTTATCAACTAAACAGGAATATTTTTCAAAAGATTGAACAGATGGAAGAATTTGTGCATTAATAACTTTGTAAATATAAAAATCAAAATTAGTTGCCAGAGAGGAGTTGGTATTTCTGGAATCTTGCAAAGCTGGTTTAATTTTATTATTGTTTGTAGTGTGGTATGTCATTGCCTGTGTACTGTGCAATAAACTCCAAGGACACATCTATAAACTGAGTTCTATAGTTGTCCAGGAGGCTTACTATGGTGGGATTATTGTGTAATTAAAACTTGATATATAGTCTGCCCAAGTGCAGGTAAAATACAGAGGGTTTTCACTGTGTTCAAGAAGAAATCATAGATCTCAAAAACAAATGTTAGCTACTGCAAAAGACTAAGCAAAAGAACCCATACTAAAGTGGGGTGGATTCTTTGCTGGTTACCAGGATGTGGGGGTGGGGTGAGGGGAGGGAGGGGAAGGTGGAACTCAGGGTAGGGAATAGACACAGGATAGTTTGGGTGTTAGGGAGGGGGACAATACACAAGAAGGGGGAAGGGAATGGAAGAACAAAGCAGATGGGAGAACAATTAGGCAGGTTTGCATGGGCTAAGAGGGACAGAGGTGAATAGTGATGTGTGCACAACCTTGGAACAGCAGGGCCCTGGGATACAGGGATTGAAACATGGTTGGAATGGGGAAAAGGGAAATAATGTTAAGATGCTTGGCTGTCTTTTGAATCTTGGTTTCCCTGGCATATCATTATAAAATAGAAACTTGAGGGGGAGAGAAAGGAAATAACCAGAAATATCACCATAGAAAGCTTGTAAGTCCGTCTTCTGCTTACAACTGATTGAAATACCTAAAATGGGGCTACAACGTGCCCAGTGAAGGAGGTTTCCTGTGGAGCCTCTGCATTACATAAAACCATAGGTAGAATCCTGAACAACATTCAGAATCTTCTGAGGTGGGAAATTTCCACTGGAAAGCACAAGAAGACCACCTGGCGTGACTAGAAGAACAGAAGATACTCCTTGAAAGAAAGACCTACAGGAAAAATACAAAACAATACAGGTAGTCCGACTAATTACTACAAGAACAAGCAAGGTGCTCCCCCAGGAACATCAAGGCAAGTGGTCTGGTCCCCTCAGGGCAAACCCCCTTCCAAGACTAAGACTCAATGGGAATACACGCTCTGATTGGTGACCACGTTCATCACCGATAAGGGGAAGTGAGGGAAAAACAGCAATGAAACTGCGAGCTAAGCCCTACAACGTTCAATAGACTCCTGTGAACCTGGGTGGATACCTGGTTGGCCAGCAGTGTGGCAAGACCTGGGGACTCTTGGGTCCAGAGTCAGTGACATAGCCACAGAGGACTTGAGTGGAGAGTGAAGCGTCCAGATGATAAGACAGGGCATATGCATAAGAACACCCACACTTGCAGATAATACTCACTCAACCTGGCTTCAATGACTGGATGATCAGAGCTCAACTAGAAGAAGAAAGAAGAGGGAAAAAAGAGTAATCTGATACAATTTGATGAACTTGACCTACACCTATGGATGCAGTAGCTCAAAAGAGGGAACAAATTTTTACAGCAAGGATCATTCCCACCCCCTCCATACACAGAGTAGACAGGGATGGGCAACTTGAACATTGGCTACCCAACATGGGAGTGAGAGCTACAAAGGCAAGAAGCAAATGGCTTACAAGCTTTCAAGAGGGAGCCTAGATCCAGAGGGCATGGAGGAAGGTAGACTCTCCACTGAGTAGTATCCAATCTGTCTGGGTGGGACTGATGAAAGGAGATGTGGATAGCACTCATGTGGCACAGTAGTGAATAATTGCTATCAGGACTGACTGTGAGGGTGGAAATATAAAGGTAGATGTTTTGTAGCAAAAGGAGGGGAGTGATTGACTTTGCAGTCTAGGAGCGGGGGTCCCTGGGACTATCAAGAAAGAAGAGTGGAGTGTGGGAACATACCCAGAGAAACAGTGACTCCAAAGATGGAGGCAGAGAGGATGACGTGGAGAGATGGAGTGGCTGGGGACTCTAGACCCAGAGAGGGAGAGGGGCTGTGTGCTTAGGACCAGGGTACAGGCTTGCAGGATATACCCTTTGGTTGCTTGATGATACATGGAGGGGATTATAACCATGGCAATGAAACATATGATAGGATGAATGTAACGCTAATGTTCTCCCATGTAAAGTATCATATAATTCACAAAAAAAACATTAAAAAAAAAAAAGTAGTGTTATTTGTTGATACATCTCTCTGGTTTCTTTTTCAAATTCCATCTGTGGTAAAAGCAACAGATGATAAATCCAATGATAGTCGTAAACCCTTTATTGACAATAACAGGGCAGCAGAGGACCCCAGTGGGTCCCTCACCTTTTGAACCTCAAACATGGGACAGGTATTTCTCTCTTAATATAACTTTCCAGTCAAAGGGGAAAATGAATAATCTTTAAATTTAGAATGATGTTATCCCTAGTGCTGTTCTATTGCCTAATGCTACCTTATTAAACTGAAGAGCAATAATTCCAATCAAGATACCCTGTTGGCCACATTTTCCTTCTAAGCCTGTTTGACCTACTCACACGGCAAAGGGCTAATGGGTACTAGTATGTGGCAGGTCCTGCACAGGTATAGAGCTTGGATACCCTAGATTTCCTGTAATAAAACAATTCTTTCTTTTCAATAAAAATGAAATGATAAGAATTTTGGTTTCATGTTCTGGTAGCATCTTATCTTTCTTTCTTTGGAATATTTTGGCATTGTGATGTGAAAATATCCATTATTTATTCTTGTTCACTAAGATTAGACAGTAAAGTTGGACTCCTAGCAACCACTGAAGCTTGGTAAAATAAATAAATTGTCTACCCAGGTCTCATTTGAGGGTAAGTAAAAAAACTATTGCTACGAAATCATAAAAAACTTTCTTAAATGAAAGTATCAGAATATGAAGCTGTTTTTTCTCAATGTATCTTCCATCTAAGTCTATACACTTCTAAAGGTGGCGTTTCTATCTCTCTAACCCTTCCCCGAAAAGTTCCACACTTTTTCATTTACATCATGCCAAAACAGCCATCTTGGCAACCTCAAGGAACTCAAATTATGTTCTGTTTCAGTGTTTTTTAGAGAACAAAAAAAGCGTACAGGTACAAAATCAGAGCCGTAGGGTAGATGGGGTAAGGTTTCCCAACAAAATTCTTCTAGGATAGCCCTTGCTAGCCTTAAAGAATGAGCAGGTACATTGCTGTGATGGACAAAAAATTCCTTGGCACAACTTTCCTGGCCCTTTTCTCACCAATGCAGTTGTTTTTTCTTAAATATTCTTCCTGTAACACTCCATGACCATCTCGTGTCCTTTGAAATCCACCTCACCCCCTCAAAAAACCATAATAGTCATCATAACCTTCTGGCTGACCTCTCTGCCTTGAATTTAACTGGCCTAGCAGATCAGCAGATCCCCTTGAAAGCTACTGTTTGGGTTGGACTTTTTTTTGGAAGACACGCCAATGAGATGAAGACAAGTGTATTGCTGAGAGACTTTGTCTGTAGCCATTCACTAATTGCAGAGACGTGTTTAAATATGTTTTGTTTGGAATAAACCCAGGCATGAACTGAAACACTAGTAGCAATACTTTTTGACTTACTCTCATACACTGATTGCAGATGATAAGCCAAAGCCAAAGTATTTCCATTGGATAAGAAAAGAATACTGTGTTTAGAAGAATATGCTGGTCATGGAAAATATGAGCATGCTCTAAAATTTTACTTTCTGTTTCATAGTTCCTTCCTCATAATCTTTCTTACCATATTTCTTCTTATACCGATAGAGACTGCAAGTTTCTCTACTTCATTTTAGAAAAAGATGGTATAATCCTATATGGCAAAAACAAAATACACATATACCACTGTGTAAGCAATAGCAATGAAGAAATTTTATACAACTCCATCCTTATTTTAGCTACGTTGTTTTTTGTTTCTAGAGATTTATTGCCTTCTGTAGTTCCAACTGACCCAAGACAGTTTTGTGTTTCTTCCAATTTGAATATTCTGTTATATATCTAATGCAAACATGCCGCACATGTTGTCCAACCACGTCTACTCGGGTAGGAGCAATAGATGCTTGGCTCTCTGGTATGGAGCCACTGTGAACTGGTTGGCTGCAATGAGCTTGCAATCAAGTTTACTGCTAAATTTTGAAAGCAAAACTATATGGTAATTAAGCTTAGAGTTTCTGAAGTTGCTACCTAAACTTAAAACATGGTTGTCAAATGTGACTACAGGTAAGTTGATTAGCCCCTTAAAGTATCAATTTCTTCATTTATAACATGAGGAATTACAATATTACTACCTGTGTACCTTTGTTGTTGTTGTTAAATACCATCGAGTTGGTTCTGATTCATATCAACCCTGTATAGGGTTTCCAAGGACAGGCTAGTAGGTTTCAACCACTGACCTTGCAGTTATCTATCCAGTGTTTATCCTACAGTGCTACACCAGGACTCCTCTACCCATGAGAAATGATGAGGTCACAAAGAGATGAGATGTGAAAAATGATGGGGCTGAGGACAGTCTATGTTTATCCTGATAGGTCACAGTGAGGACTTCAGTTTGCATTCTTCAGAGGGGAAGCCTTTAGAGAGTCTGAGAGATATGGCCAGATCTATATTTGGATATGATTTTGGGAAATAAGATTCTCCAGTTTGATTTCCAATGTTGGTAGGAAATTTGTGGTGCAAACCATTAACCACTAGTCCTAGCATGGTGCTGGACTATAAAGTCGGTTTCAACGGCAAGGTTGGCCATTCAAGTTCACCTGCTGCTCCTTGGAAACCCTATACAGGGTCGCTATGAGTCAGAACCGACACGACAGCACTTAACAACAAAAATACCAAACCACTAACTTAAAGATTGGCAGCAAGACAGTGGAAGAAACGTCTGGTAGTCTGCTTGTGTAAAGATTACAGTCCAAAAAACATGATGGAGTTTAGTTCTACTCTATGCCACATGGGGTCATCATGAGCTGGAATTGACAAAATGGCAACCAATTTAGTTTTTGTTTTTACTCTCTGGAGATCACATGAGTCATTTTTTCACTGACCCCACTCTACTGAAATTAGTCTCATCAAGGTGACTAATAACTTCCTCGTAGATAATTCTATCTCAGTCCTATCTTACTTGACCTATGAATGGCTTATTTAACACAGTTGCTTACTCTTTCCTTAAAACACTCTTTACCCTTGGCTTCCAGACCTATTCGGGATGGTAGAAGAACCTTGGGATAGATTTGATGAGTCCAAATCCAGGCAATTAAAATTGTGCCCTGTATGCAGGACTTCTCACATAGACTTTCTCTGCATCCTTGGACAGTTTCACGCATGCTAGTTTTCAAGAAGAGAAGATCTGGAAACTGTTGTTGTTATTAAGTACCGTTGAGTCATTTCTGACTCACAGCAACCTTGTATAAGGTTTTTGAGGAGCGGCAGGTAGGTTTGAACTGCCTACCTTGCAGTTAGCATCCAACGCTTACCCTACAGCACCACACGAGGACTATTAAAAGCATAGAGTGTTAAGATTGGAAGGATTCCTAGAGGTCACTTCATCTAATTTTACAAATGACAAAGACTCACACACACACACACAAAGTTATGTTTTATTTCAAGAGAGTTTATTAGTAGGAGCTAATTCAGTTATACTAGTTTTGCAAAACATCAATCATTTTTGCACTCATATTTACACACTTATTGGGATAATAAGTTTACACATGAAAAACTATAACTGGACAAAACTATATGGAGTAAGTATAATTAACATAATAAGTAATCACTGTTACAGTATAGTCTATACACCTGTGCTGGTCTGTGAACTGCTTGTACAAATAAGTGCATGAATGGACAGGGAGGGCTTTAAAACTTTAACAGAAATTTGACAGGATAATTTTGTATATCAATCTAATCTTTTTTTTCATAATTATTTTCTTGAGATAGCAGTCTGATCACATATGGTTCAAGAAGACTCAAATAGTAAGCCAAATATAATTCAATGGTAACAATTGGTTTTCAAACATTATAGCCAACGATACCATGCTTACCTATGATTTCACTGACATAAGACACAACCACACCTCAGTGGCCACCAAACCATTCAGCAGAGCTTCCTTAACTGTGAGCTGTTGAAATGCCCAGTTTAACACTAATGACTATTTTTTCAGGCTCTGAATAGCTGTAGGTATCTCAGTAAGGGTTGGAGGAACCAGATCCACCTTGGCTTAATGCCAAAACATGGCCAATTGAGGTTTTGAGTAAGTCACAGCTGCATTTACCGTTGCCAGAGCCTTCTCTATCAGGTTACAGATAAACTGGGCCATGGTTCTAGGATGAAAAGCCTGTTTCTCACAACGACCGGCTGAATGTCCTTATCTAATAATTTTTAAATGTTTTATTTTCTCTTAATTTTTTTCAGGAATTCATTTTTATTATATTTTACCAAAGGCCATGATGAATTGGGAATTTTAAAAGAAAAAAATGATTCCTTCACTACAGATGGCTTGAGAAGTAACAGTGTATATTGGTGGTTATGTGCCGTGGAATCATTCCCGACTCATAGAGACCCTATATAGGGTTTCCAAGCTGTAAATCCCACGGGTGCAGAAAGCCTCATCCTTCTGCAGAACCACTTGTTGTTTAGAACTGCTGACCATGAGATTTGTAGCCACAGTGTATATAAAGAGTTCAGAAAGGAGACCTTATGACGCAATGGTTAAGTGCTTAGCTGCTAACTGAAAAGTTGGCATTTGAACCCACCCAGTAGTTCTCCACGAGAAAAACCTGGCATTCTGTCTCTGTAAAGGTTATTGTTGTTAAGAGCCATCGAGTCAGTTCTGACTCCTAGTGACCTTGTATAGGGTTTCCTAAGCAGTTCTTCGCTGTCACATGAGATCACTGGGAATTGGAATTGACTTGCTGATACCCAACGAACGATAATCATAAAGTTGAAAAAAAAAAAATCAATATAGCATGAAGTTACCAGACAAAAAAACAGCCTTGAAAAATCTAGCAGTGCTACTGTTAGTTCATGTTATTTGGAAGACTGGCATGAGCAAAATAATGTAATTACTGCCCAATTCTTTTGGAAACAAGTATTTACTTCAGATATACCTATGAGTCTACAGAGAGAGCTTTAATATGTTACTCACTAAAATCCTCATTGCATTTATTCCCAAAGTGCATCAAGAAGCACTTACAATAATAATTATAATAATAGTAATAATAAAAGAATCCATTTTTATTGCAAAACCCAGAAAAAATGGTCATTTCATCTTTTTTACTTTTCAAGTGGGATAGGAAAATGTTGCCAATCATGAGACCAACAATTTAAAAAAAAGAATGAACTTGTTTGTAGCATGCCATCACCAAAGTAGCTCTAAAATGCTGAGCAACAATGATCTGGTATCATGTCGATATAATGCTCAACTGGGAACTTTTTGAAGACATTTACTGTATCTTCAGAGTTTTATTATTTTCAAATGCATGTTGCCAATTTGTTTGTGTGATTGGTTGTGACTTTCTTTTTTAAGGTTCGGACATTTTACAGCCAGAAACCAGAAAAACCATGGCCAGAAGTAATGAAATGATTCAAAGGCCTTAGACTGTAAGGTAACAATGTTGCTATTATTTATTTATTTATTTTCTTTCTATTCAGTCACTTATTCATTTATTCATTTGTTAATTATAAAAAGTGTTTCAGGAACATCATAAACAAGAAATACAAAAATGTACACAAGTTATCTAAGGATAAAAGAAAGATTAGAAATCACAAAGTAAAACTAAAAATGGTATCAATTTACTGATTATTTATAACCCTGGTTGTGCAGAGGCTAACGTGATCCACAAAATCAATCCATTGCTAACTAAAAGTTTGATGGTTCAAACCCACCAGCCACTTAATGTTCAAAAGATGTGGCATTCTGATTCCATGAAAATTTATAGCCTTGGAAACACTACGGGACAGATTTACTCCATTCTATAAGGTTGTTATGAGTTGGAAGTGACTCCGTGGCAACAGGTTTTGCTTGGTTTTGGTAGTTGTGATTCTTCTGACTTAAATGATTCCTACTCTGCCCAAAGATAGGATACCAAGCTTGCCAACACCACTTAAGAAAGCACCATCAGAGTCCAGGCAGCCTCATGTCAGCCCATGAGTGGTATGATTTCATAAGATTGGATCAGCGGTTGTCATTATTAAGTGCCGTGGAGTCGGTTCTGACTCATAGCGAGTCTTATAGGATTTCTGACGACTGGTGAGCTTGAACTGCCAACCTTGTTGTATAAACAGACCTTTCAGTCCACTACATTAACCCAGAGTACCACACCAGGACTCGGTAGTTACCAGGAGAAAGAAAAGCACAGAAAAAAAAAAAAAAAAAAAAGACACATACAAGGGTAAGGAAAGCCATTGGGGCCAGTTTGTCAATCACTGATCCCTCAGGAGTCCAGATGACTCTTAAGCAAAATGAATTAAACAAAAACACCAACAAGTCCTCTTCTTTCCCTCGGACTCCTTGGAAACTCTATACTGGGTCACTGTGAGTCCGAACAGACTTGATGGTACTTACCACAACAATAAGAAGTAAAGTTCGAAAGATTGGCCTTGAACTTCCATTGCGAGATTCAGCCAAACCTCATCATTAGATCTTACTCCAAATTTCTTCCCAGTGACTTTGTGGGGAATTTGAATTTCCACCTAACAAACTCCTGCTCAGTATGTGGGGATTCACAGGAAAAGCTGAAGTGCTATTTTAGGAAGGCCATTAAATTGATATTTCTAATGGGTTTTGTGGGTTATATAAAAGATCCTTTTTGTTTTTTTAGGACAGAGATGGAAATGTATGCCATTTATCAACAAAGGAGAACAGGAAAAGTTAATCCCAGGGGGCTAGTAGGTTTAGGACTACCTTTCCTTTATGACTCCAGTATTCCAGTAGGCCCAGGTACCTACCATGGCACATGCATGTTTAATGCCAAGGACCTACATTTCCACAGAAGCCCCTTGAAAAGCCATCAGGCAAACCCTAGGCTGGAGAGATGGGAGCAGAAATGTCACCTCAGGAAAGGGATGAGAAATAAGAAAGACCGTGAAATGGATGGTTCCAAAAGTCAAGCAGAATTTAAAATACTAGACCAGACTCACATATTTGCTGATGAAGATGAAGAGTTTACAAAAGAACCTGAGACTGAAGCATTCAACAATCAGAAATAAAGGGAAATCAATGAAAAGCCAACTGCAGTACTTACCAAAACTTGTGGTGAGCTGGAGTTCATCCATAGAGCACCATGGGCAGCTCATAGCACTTCCCTGGAAGCTGAAGCCTGGGATGGTAGGAAGGAGAAGACCTCAAAGCAGTCTTTTGCAGAATGCAGTAAAAAGAACCCAAGTCCTCCATTGGTTCTGCCAGGTGAGGGTCTGGAGCCAAGTCCAGTTTCTCAGTAACCACAGGTTGATACATCCTTAAATTATTACATTATTGTTGTTAGGTGTCATCGAGTCCAAACCGATTCATAGTGACCATATGCACAACAAAATGAAACACTGCTCCGTCTTACCACAACCTCACAATCGTTGCCACACTTTGGCCCATTGCTGCTGCCACTGTACCAATCCATCTTGTTGGGA